AAGAACTTCGTATTTAATAGAATTGAAATGATTGGATAAGACAGAATTTGACCTAGTTGCAAAAGCTCCTTCCCCCTCCCCTCCATAAAGTGACAGAATCAACATAAATGTGATAAGTAATCTTCATTATGTAAACATATGCTCATTTTATCACTTTATACGCTTATCAAATCCAACAATCTACAAATGGTTTTGTTATCTTTACCAATCGGCCAACTTGAAAACAGCATAAGAAATACCTCATGCTGAGGAACGATGATTAATTCGCTATATACAAGCTGAGATTTTACAAATTCTGGTTTAACAATACTACTTTGACAAAGCCATTAACAGCATCAAAGAGTGAGACGTTAGTAAAAACAAATTAAGGTTTTGTTTTTCAATCATTAGGAAATACAAAGACTTTTTTAATAGCGCATCTATTCATGTTTTGTCTGTTTTGAGCTTTGATCTGTTAGGGTCTGTATAAGGAAATCACAGTGCTTGAGTACATACATAACTTCTATTTCACTGGTCATAATAATACTGTGCTAATCTAAATTCGAATCACATAATTTGGGATAATTTTAATTATTCACAAAACTGACCGGAAAATAATATGCTAACGGTTGAGGAGACTCATAGTAATATCTTCAAAGCCTTATCAGCAATATCTGCATTGATTAGTCAGTATTTCAGTTCTAAAAATATCATTAGGTGTTAGCTTGATGGAACTGGAATGATTACAGGTTTGATATATTTGCGCGTTGAAGTTTCTGTAGCAATTTGGTTAAGTTTCGGGGGTGGAGTTGCTAGCACCATGCCCCAACCTTCCCCCTTTATCCGGGCTTGGGACTGGCTAGAAAACTAGCGAGCTAGTAATCTAGGTAAGGAGGTAGACCCCGCTGGGTGACATCGCGCGGCAGGCCAGTGCTCGAGTGTAACCCGAAAGGGAAGCGGCAAGTGTGACGTCCAAGGGTGACTTGGAGGAGATCGTGTGAAGAGGAGCTGAAACAGTATGGACTAACATGGATGCAGGTGAAAAGTACAGCAGAAGATAGAAGCAAGTGGAGACGTGTAGTTGAAGCCCTATATTCCACTAGGAACCCAAGGGAATAATAATAATAATACAGGTTTGATAACTAGTTGACGTCAGTAAGAGAACCAATAAAAAACCTGGAAGTCGTACCCAGAGGGGTCCACTAATTCAGGTAAGAGAAAAGTTACTCGCCTGAGACATTGGCCGGTAGTTGCACTATTTAAATGTCACGAATCGGCAGAAGTTCGAATCCATGGGTTGACCAATGGACAGGGTCTCAGTGGCTGAATCGTCTACGAGCTCATGTTGTAATTGAAGGTATTCGGCTGGAACCACAGAGGGTGTGTACTGATGAAGAGTCCCAAACTAGGACTAAGTGGCCATGTTTTACTCCCTGCAGATCTTCCAGTGGTTCTCTATTCAGTATCAACCCGTGATCAAACCTAAAACGGTACAAGCTTCATTTCTGGTTCTATTAAAAATCGATAACGTTTGCAAAACGGAAATGGTTATGAGTGACAGCAAACCAAAATTATATTTTTAAGTAGACATAAAATGTGTGTGTGTGTGTAAAACATTACGTCATCGCATCAACTTTACATTTCATCTACTAGACTTTTCAAGAAATATACTTTCAGATATCTGGCGAACATCTGGCATTTCGCGCTACGCACTATCATTGTCTTCTGCTGGGAAATGCGACTGTACTTTGATTGGGCACTGAGAAGTAACTAGTGTCATGCATCTTGTTCTTGGTGTTAGTGCAGACTAAATTCCATCAGTGAAGTTTCCAAGCTAGTTGGCTTACTGTCGTGGTGCACTTTGAACTGATGTTAGATGGTTGCTGGCAATCAGCAGGAGACCTTGTACCTAGGTTTCATGCTTGTTGGCACTCACCATTCAGTAACGCATATTTCTAACCTAGAAGGAACTCACATCCCTTCTGGAGTTCGAACCCGTGTCATCCACTGTTACAGTCAGGGACATTTCCACTGAGGAGTCAATCGGGCTAGCGACTGACTTTCTTTATTAGTGTAATGGACACTTTGACTAAACACTAGGTGGCGAACGACTGTTTACTCCATACTGCCAACCTGGGAAGCGTTGATAATAAAATAAGTCTTGGTAGTACGCAGTGAGACGGAATAATAACGTCCACATATCTAAAATAGACGATTAGTGTCTTCTAATACTGACGTGTATTAAAAATCGCGCAGTAATTTATGGTTGTCTGGTACATCTTTCTAAATCCTTTAAATCTGCCTTACATTCGGTGATATACTCAATAGTAAATCCGACTAAACCCACTACGCTATCTCTAACTGATGTCAGTTCATGCTGAAATCATGTAACCAGTCAATCAAATCCTTACAAACCAACACTTGAAGTGATTGTGTTGGTTTGTGTGCTATGTCTGTTTCAAATGGTCCCAGTATTATAGCCGTTATTTCAGAAATATTCTCCATATATACGGTGGAAAGAATTTTCTTGTGGTTTTTGAGCATCCAAATATTTATTCACTCTAATAAAATTCTATTCAAAGGAAAGGTTTTACTAGACCCACTGGTAAAAAAAACATGAAATGTCTTCAGTCGTTTCCATAAAGACTGTTCATTGTAGGTGGATAATCAGTGTCAGGATGTCTAAATTGAATTGATGCCTATCAGTGTAAAGCTCAGTTACTGATCTAGCTTACTTGTAGTCATGCTGTGGTTTGTTTGAATCGGGCATTTTAGAGGTGGTCGACAAAATACCTTAGTCTCACATTTTTTTTAATTGTTGCTACTTAATGCACATGTAGATCATTGATTTAAGTGCTCAACTTTCACCAATCATTCCTGAACTACCACGTACTTAACCCTGAGAGAAGGGATACTAAAAAATATATGTGGCATAGTAAGTGAAACTTGTAGCCTGATGCATAAGATATGTGTTCCGTACTATTATTATTATTGTTCCCTTGGGTTCCTAGTGGAACATAGGGCTTCAACTACACGTCTCCACTTGCTTCTGTCTTCTGCTGTACTTTTCACCTCCATCCATGTTAGTCCATACTGTTTCAGCTCCCCTTCTCACGACCTCCCCCATGTCACCCTTGCACTGACGTCCCACTCGCCGCTTCCCTTTCGGGTTCCACTCGAGCACTGGCCTGCCGCGCGATGTCACCCAGCGGCCTCCTCAGCGAGTGTCCAATCCATCTCCACTTTCTCCTGCATATTTGTTAAGCAATTGGTTCTTGTTTTGTTTGTTCCCATAGTTTCTTGTTGGTGATTCTTTCCAGCCATCTGATCTTCAGTATAGAGCGAAGACAGTTGTTGATAAAGGTCTGCAACAGGCTGTTGGAAATATTCTTTGTGACCCTCCAAGTTTCTGATCCGTATAGAAGAACTGACTTGACGTTTGTATTGAAAATCCAAATTTTGTTGTTGTATCTGAGTTGAGTGACGAAGATTTCCAGATTGGTTTCAGGTTGATGAATGTGTTTCTCGCCTTCCCGATTCTCGATTTGACATCCTCGTCCGTTCCTCCTGTAATTGAGACAATGCTCCCTAGATAAGTGAATGAAGTAACCTCTTTCAAATCCCTCCCGTTGATGGTGATTGGAGGTGGATGTTGCTGCTGTTGTTGTTGTTGTTGGTTGGTTGGTTATTTTCATAACCTCCGTACTACTGAATTCTAACTTGGTGGCCATTCATTGACAAAATTTACTTCTGATTCATAAGTTGAAACCAAATTAATTCGTCACTGGGGCTGAAGATTTTGCCAGAAAAGAGCTGATATGAGGAGTTAAGATGACATAGAATACTTAAGCAAGTTTCAGAACCTTACAATAATCTATAACAGCTTCTTATGTATCACATCCATTTAAGAAGGTATAGCACAAACTTCTATTTAATACTATCATGAGTATTCTTCTGCGCCACATACAGTGAACTGTATCATTATGCTTAGAAAAAGATTTCTACTAACTCCACATAACCATTTTAAATATTAGAGCCATTCAATGTTAAAAGGACATGACGGAATAACTTCAAAGAATACTTGCTTCATATGATGTTAAAGTCCGTTTGAAACCTTCTAATTCTTTAAAGAAAGCCCAAAATAACACAAGACAACTGTGTCTATTGGGTACTGTTCAGGATGTGAGGCTTGCTACATAGAGGAAAACAGTAGACAGATGAAGATAAGAGTGAATGAACACAGTCTTTGCAGAAAACGTTTGTCTAGAAATAAAGCAGAACTAAAAGTCCAGAAAAAAAGATCAGCTATAGAAATGCATGCCATAAGAAGCAGACATAAGATGGATTCCGATAAAGTCGAAATTCTTTGAAAAGGCTTTCATTCACATAACGAAAGGCTGATTTCCGAAGCCTTGCATATTTTAACCACATCGAATGCAATAAACAGGAGAGAGAAATATAGACTTATTACCTTTACGGCAGACTCTAATCAAGCAAGACAGATGAGGAAAAACAAAAATTTTCAGTCTCATGTTATGACCACTGTAAAAATATCAAGGTTTTTCATATATGAATTGACGTGTCTTCCATATGACAAATAACATACAAACACACACACACTGCTACAGACAAATATGCAAGTATGAGAATTTGACATTAGTCATTATAAATATGTGATGACTGTTTATATTTTCCTATTGGTACACATGTCTACTGACAAGTGGCCTGCAGAGGAATTCACTTCAATTTGTGTAATTTTTTGACTACATATTTAAAGGGTTAATAAAATCCCAGTAATTCAGCTGAAGAAGCTGGGGCTTACACAGCGAAACATTCAGAAAGTCTTATTTTGATCTTTTTTTAAAATACGCTGGGATTATTTTAAGTAATTTATAATGATTCACATGACCAAGTTATACAGTTACTACATCTAACCATCGATTGCTGAGAATACAAAATAAGATAATTGATGATTGTGAACATTTGGACAATGTACTAACACTTTTCAGCAGTACCGAAGGATAATGGAATCATATAATATTTTCACGAATCTGTGTTAGCTGAAATCAAAGACCAGTATACCGCAAAAACCGACATAGACTTGACAGCCTTTTAACTCCCAGAGCTTTGTCCCTTTGTTGCTCAAGGATTTTAAAAATCTGTTCGGAAGACACAAGAGAGAATGAATTAAAATCATTGTGTGACGCCCTACTTCGGGGAACAGATATCCACCAAGCTTTATCTACAAAAACATGAAAGAAAAGCCTCCCTTGCCACAAAGTAGCAACTGTTCCTAAGAAAATTCTTTTGATAAACCTGGAATTCAGAAGCGACACTGAAGCAGAAAATCCTAGAAAATGCCTTTCTAAATATCTGAAGAAACCATTTGAAGCAGCCACCTCACACATCACATTCTCCAGCAGACAATAATCCAGTCAATCTTTAGGGATATGATACCACTTTCGGACAACTCAATGTTTTTTTATTAATTTACTCGTTCGTGTGGATCAAATTATATCGACTGTATGCAATGTCAAGTCCACAAACATATTTTGGAACACTATGCATTCTGGTTAGCTACAGGAGAAAAGAAGAATATCGGTAGTTCTATCCTCGAGTATCTTGTCGACTCCAGAGATCGTTTACCCTCTCATGACTGCATCAAAGTGCTACACAGAGTACCTCGATTTCTCATGTATATATACTTCGAATACGCCATCTACACATAGCCCAAGCATTGACTATTCTGGGTCTGAAATCGAGCTTCTGCATCCAAATCACTAAATATATTCACTCGTCTGTGGGGTCCGGCAGCAAATGGTCCTGTGGAAAGATTTCACAGGCAGCTTAAAAGCCCCCTAAAGGCACAGAATGATACATCTAAGTAGGAGTGAACACTTACCTTTGATCCTACTTGGCATCCAACCAACTACCAAAGAAGACTAAGGATGAATACTAGCCCAACTCTTACATGGTACTAACTTAACTTTGCCTGAACAGTTAGTCCCCTCATATAACTCCACAGATGTGAATATTGCTGACTTCACCAACTGACTAACCAGACAAATGCTTCAGCTTCAAACAAAAGCAGCTCGGCAATCTCTCAAACTAGACCAGGTCAGCAAACATCTGGGTACTTACAAATTTGTCTATTCTCGAGTTGCTGCTGTAACCTCCGTGTGAAGTTGCTCCTCAAGTCCTCAAACGTTCAGACAAATATTTTACATTGAAAAGAAGTGGAAAACGGGAGAGTATCTCAATTGATCGAATTTAACCAGCCTACACAGAGAGTGAATTCCAAGCTACATAGACATCTGCACAAACAAATAACCAAACAGTCGATTCAACTCCAACGGCACCGATTCTTGTCCTTCCTTCTTATCAAACACATTAGTGGCCGGCAAATTAGTAAACCTGCTCGCTACATTAATTTTGTGGACTGATAAAACAATTACATTTTCCTCGTTAAACATTATTATCATGATTATTACTATTTTTGGTTCACTTTGATGTTACTTACTATAAATGATTGTTATCACCATTATTATTTGTTTATTTATACCTTAACTACAAGACAGATATCCGTGTTTTTCAGAAACGGCCTATTTTTTATCCATTTTTTGACTCTCACTAATGACTATATACATAGATTTGCTCTGTTTATACATTAAAAAACTTCTTTATTCGTAGCCTCTGCAAAAAGAGACCAACCTCACTTAATTATCATAAAGTTTCATTTCATTTTTTGCTGTTGAACTATTTGCAAATTCGTTTAAACTTTAAACGATCCGAATACCTTTTTGCGTACTTGCATGTTATTATGTATCCTTATTATTATAACAAAGATTATTATTATTATTTGCTTCACTAACACAGACAGTTTTCGGCTGTTTCTCCGGACCTCCATGTGGAGTCTGTAACAGCATGGTTGTATATTTTTGGTTAGATGTTGATATTAGAAACATTGTACACAACTTTTGTTTAAAATGATTCATACTGAAATATACTTAACGACGGAGTACAACCTAAAATACAGTATGCTGCCCGCTGCTTCATCTTCTCACTAGTCTACACTGTCTATTTGTTTCACTACTAACCGTGCCGTATCCTTTGCCATTTGCAGGAACCTCTCATTTTCATCCAAAAGCTATTCTACAACCACTGCATAGCTTCCACTAGTAGACTCGACTCCAGTGGTGAACACTGTTGTGGATTATATTAATAATTTATAGCAGCGAATTCTGACTGTATGACCGAGTAATCATTAATTTATATAACTCGTTAACTGCATTTTTTTACAATATACTGTTATACCGTTTTTTCATTAACTTGGATTTTATTCTAATATTTGTCCAGAGCTCACTATTAAGTACACTACACACATTACCATAACCGAAGTAACTTCCTTGCCATTATTTCGCTTCACTTTATTGTGTAAGTTTATTAGTATTATTATTGCCCTTATTTTATAATCACTCTATTATTGCTTATTACTGACACTGCATTTTGATACAAATTTGATAGAAACACTTTACCGTCTTTCCACTAGTTTTTGTGTTCACGTCATTTAGTTATATTGATTGTTTATTTTCCACAGTTTTTACGTCACCTCAGTTTCTATCCCCTTTGTCTAATCCCAGACCAGTCATCCTTTCTAGATTACACCATACATTATGTAATACACTTTATAAAACAAATTTACCAGTATCTCATTGGTTTTTATGATTTCTTTGTTAAATATAAATACGACTGAACAGATTGTGAAAATTAATTGTCTAAAATAATATTTTCTTCGCTGTTTACGTATTTCATCTTATGATTTAATGTAGCAATATTCCGTTCATGAAACCGTATACATTTGAAATATAAGTGTAGCGACATAATTAGCTCATATATTGAGTACTATAATATATTGCTTATATGAGGACTAAGTTACCAGAATCTTAAAAACCATTTGAACATTAGAACAGTCAATGATGCATTTGAAGTTTAGTAATTGAGAAAACTCTAAATACTGGTCATAAAATTGATTTAAATATTTTGAAAGTGTAACCTGTTTCCTCATCCATGCGTGAAATAAATGCTTTGTGTGAGCGAACACCATAGCAGAATGTAATTCCACATTAGATAAGTTAATATGAGGTAACACACAGTGATGATGCAGTATTTACAACTGGATGACGTTTTAAGTACAATTTAGTCACACGGTTTCACAAGTAGTCTTATAAAGTTTTTTCTATCTCCTCCTCTCTTCGTTATTTGTTGCCATTTTCCATATCTCCGATTTAGGTGTTGCATCATTTCGATAGTTACCTAAAACTCTGATTTTTGTGGAATATCTTATCAAAAAGGTGCGAAAAACTTTTACAATTATTTGACTTTGAAACACTGAATCTTTGGATATAATATTGTATATCAATAACACCTATAACTATCTATTTGCCACTTTGTGCTTGATTAACACTAACTAATACCTATAATTGTATATATTGATGGATTTACATGTTCAAGTTGGCTCAAGTCAGTGAGTCTATGATTTTGATATCATTTTGGTTAACTGTATTTGACTGTGATATTATTATTGCATATATATTGACGGATTTACATGTTCAAGTTGGCTCAAGTCAGTTAGTCTATGATTTTGGTATCATTTTGGTTAACTGTATTTGACTGTGATATTATTATTGTTGTTGTCGCTTGTTACCCTTCTTGTTGTAAATTATTTTCCCGTGCTGGTGTTTTTCTGCTTGTTTATTCCCTGTTTTCCTGGTTTTTAAGGGGAACAACCCACAAGGTCGCTTCTCTCTCAATTATAAATTGATATAACAACACCCCTTCTCAGGCGTGAGGCTAGCAACCCCACCCTGTAAACAAACCTGCTACAGAAACTTCAGCATGATGTATCTCCTTGAGACAAAAGAAAAAGTCTTTGTGGGGACATGGAATGTCCGTACTATGTACGAGATTGGAAAAGCTGCCCAGATTGCAAACGAAATGAAGAGATACAGAGTTCAAGTACTGGGAATATGTGAAAGCAGATGGAACGGGAATGGACTCACCAAATTGTCAACGGTTTAGTCAGTGATCTACTCCGGTCACCCAAAAGATAACCACTCGCACAACGAGGGCGTGGCTATCATGATGTCACCAAAGGCAACGAAGGCCCTGATGCAATTGCAGGCGATCTCGCCCAGGATAATGACAGCCAGATTCAACTCCAAAGGAAGGAAAGTGTCAACTATACAATACTTTGCACCGACAAGCAACGCAGACCTCGAAACGAAAGAAGAATTCTACAGAGAACTACAGGCAACAATGGACAATACTCCAGCTGGTGACATCAAAATACTAATGGGAGACATGAACGCCAAACTGGGATCAGACAACACAGGAAGGGAACTCATCATGGGTAGAGAAGCTCTGGGAGAAATGAATGAAAACGGAGAACTCTTCGCCGACTTCTGCGCCTTCAATGGACTAGTGATTGGTGGCAGCGTATACAAACACAAGGATATCCACAAGGCTACATGGGTGTCACCAGATGGGCGAACCAAAAACCAAATCGACTTCATCTCAATCTCAAGGAAGTGGAGGCGCAGACTACTGGACATGAAAGTAAGAAGAGGAGCAGACATTGGCTCAGACCACTATCTCGTACAAAGGACAATCCAAATCAAATTAAAAGCTTTCAGAGAATCAGGAGCTGCAGATAGACCACAAGCCAAGTTCAACACTCAAAAACTGAAGGACCAGGACACAAAGGACATCTTCACTGCAAGTATAAAAGACAAAGCCAAGACACAAATCAACACTGGTGAAGAGGTCAGCGTCGAAAAGCACTGGAACAACTTGAAGACAGTGTGGAGTCAAACCTGCATGAAAGTTCTAGGCAGAAAGAAGAGACAGGACAAACAATGGCTCTCTATGGACACTTGGAAACTAATAGAAGAGAGAGGGATGGTGAAACAAAAGATCCTCCAGTGCACCGATGAGCAACAAAAACAGGATTTGAATGCAAACTACAAGACACTGAACAAAAGAGTAAAGAAGAGTGCCAGAGAAGACAAAAGAAAGTACTATGAAACCATGGCAAGTGAGGCAGAACAAGCTGCAGGCAAAAGAGACCGCGCAACACTCTACCAGTCTACTAGGTACCTATCGGGCAAACGTTTGACACAAATCAAGCCGGTGAAGGATGACAATGGAAAGTCACTCAACAAAGAAGTGGAGCAAAGGAAACACTGGGCTGAACACTTCAAAAGACTCCTAAATCGAACACCACCTACAACGCGCCCAACAATACCAACGACGGAGACAGAGCTACCAGTGAACACCAACCCCCTGACGAAATCAGAATTCCTGAAGGCAATGAAGATGCTAAAAGCTGGAAAAGCAGCAGGACCAGATGGAATCCCAACAGAAGCATTGAAAATGGACCCAGAGACAACAGCGGACTTGATGACGCCACTACTGGAGAAGGTGTGGAAAGAAGGTAAAGTACCCAGGGATTGGAAGAAAGGACACTTATTCAAACTACCAAAGAAAGGAGACCTAAGTCAA